GTCCCCGTGTGCTTCGCCCGCGGGGTCCCGAACGCCGCTCGCACGCCGGCGATGCGGGGGCCCCGCAGCCCCCGGGCCGGGCAGCGGCTGCTTTGTTCGGGTGCGCTCCGTGCCCGGCCCTCGCACGTGTCGCGCCGGAACGTGAACGTTCGTGGGGTTTTCAGGTGAAAGGCAGAGAAATAAACTGCAAAGCGATTTATTTCCGAGGTGGTTCTGGCAATCCGAGCATGCCCCCCCTTTGCATAGCCACTTTTCCTTCTGCCTCAGCCCTCTCCCTCCCCCGAGCGTGTTTACCCTGCAGTCTGCGCTAATCACTCTCTCTCAGGGGCTGTGGTGGGACTAATAGGCTGCTGGTAACAATTTAAATTATAACTTGCATAATCAGTGTTTCGAGCAAATATTGGTTGAAAGAATGTGCCTTTCCTATCAGTGCTGTGGTTGCTGGAAAGAATAATTGATTAGCTTTTAAATAGTTAACACTGCTGATATGCTGCCCTTCAAAATGTTACATTGATAACTGGACAGGCTGATGCCAAGTGTCAGGATGCAGCATTGATCCACAGCTGGTAACTTTTTTTGAATGATAATGTCTGCCACATAGTTTAAAGGACTAATAAGTTCTCTGGAAAAAAAAGGGAGTATAACTGTACAAACAAAAAGCACAGAACTGCCCTACCTTCCTGAAAATTACAGGCCTCACTGGCATGGTAGTCTTCTTTTGGCATATCAGTTGATAAAAAGACTGATCATCTAAGCAAATTCTTATTATCTAAGAACCTCTTTGTTAAACAGTTAATGTGTAACTACAGTATAAGTATTTTATTTGGGCTGTAGCAAGGGAAAGAGAGAGTGTCTGAGTGCTGGTGTTTTTTGAGCACCTCTGAATACTGCTGCTTGTTTCCCTGGTGAAAGCTAATCTTCAGAAAAAGAAACATAGTCCCTTAGTTAAGGTTGCATGTGAAAGTAAAGAGATCTGACCTCGTGTTCTTGTCAGTTCTGTAGTCTGTCCCTAAAGTCTTCCCCACACAGGTGTGTCGTGGTGGTCTATGGAAAACATTCGTAGCCCTTCATGTGCAAAGCAACTCACAGTCTAAAGCAAAGGTTTTCTGACATCAGCAGAAAAAGGAGAGCTTGTGATCTGTGTTGAATTAGTTCAGATTTGCAAAGTACAACTGGCTTTATGAACTTACTGCAAATACCAGCTCTTGTAATGATTTCTAAAGTTCTGATTATTTCCTAATAGCAAGTTGTGTGCAGGCATGAGTTACTATAATCCTTAAAAAATGTGACAGAGCTATCAGTGGGAGAACTTACAGCTTTGGTAATACTTGGCTGCTCGAAGTGATGCTTTTGAAATTGCTTTCATCTTGACACTGACAGCCTGCAATATGAGCTGTAATCAGCTCTGGATCTTTAAGGCTGGGTTAGGTGCCTTCTCTGTACAGTTTCTTGCTTTATTTTCAAACTGGATGTTGTTTTGTTTATAGCAAATTCCAACTGATTTGTGTCAGTAATTCTCATAATTTGCTGATCTTGGGAATTCATTCATAATTACATCGTGCTTCCATTTAGCATGAATTGTATGGAAAAAAGGTGATCACAGGAAGGAGTGGCTTTGAGAGGAAACTAAGAACAGCTCTTTTGGAAGACTGTCATTGAAACTAATTAAAGAAGTATATATTGAGCAAGAAAGGCTGCCAGACAGTTTGACAGACTTCTAAGACAAAGGGACTTGTTCTGACAAATTTGTGAGTGGATGAGGAAGAGCCTTGGTTCTGCTGCTTGCCTGGGTTCAGCTTAAGGAAGAGAAAGAAATCCTGTGTGTTGTGTGTCTGTGTATAGGGGCAGATGTAGAGTAGATGGAAAGGGGATGGAAGAAGGACAGACAGGACCCTTCTACACTTGCCCTTCCTCGTGGCAGAAAGGGATGTACAGGTGGTTTGGATGTAAAGAGATGCTCAGCTGTGGGTTGGCAGGAGTGCCCCAGCACTGCTGAAAACTGAAGCACTTGGTTCTCTTTATTGGTGCTGGGGAATTGTTGCTAAATTTAATTTAGAGCTTTGGAGCACTGTAAAATCCATCGTGGTGGGATTTTGGCAGTTTGGAAGAATTTGCAAATTGCAGAAACAATGTTATTGTTTCATTAGGCACATGGGTCTGTGCGAGCGAATGTAACAGGAAAACTCTGCTCTGGGTAAGAAGAGACTATAAAAATAAAGGCATGGGATGTTAGAAAAACAGTCCTTTCTTTCATCCTTGTAATTAATAATACAGAAGGAGCTGAAAATTGTAGCCAGAATTCTTGGAAGACTGAAAGAACAATCTGTAAACACTTGAGGGACTTGGTAGTTGCAGGAAGATTAGAGGGAACCCCCTTAACAGCTTCATCAGAATTCCCTGGCTGGGCTCCTTCTCTCTGGCTGCTTCTCCCTAGGGGTCTGCATCTTATCTCGCTGGCTTCCTTTCCTCTGTTTGCCTCTGACTAATAGGCTTTGTCTTCTGGTTACTGGAAGTCTAATAATTTCTTTTGTCTCTTCCCCCTTCCTCCTTTTTAAAAATACTAGATTAATGGCTGCAGTGTTTTGCAGACTATCTACACTGGTGACATGGATTAATTGTATACTTGACTCTAAGTTATTCAACAGTAATGACATAGTAACTGGACTTGAAACAATTGTAATTTCGTGGCAAATGTTCAAGGCAAATGTTGCCTTCTGGTAAAGAGCCACCTGCAATTTACCCCCTGTAAACATATGACCCGAGTAAACTGTCTGTGCTGGTTTTCTCAGTGTCCTCTGTACAGTAAGTTGTCTCCAGTGTGTCTTTTGAAACAGTCAGTGATCTATCTTTTCTCCTCCCCCCCCTTTCTTTTGACTCTAGCTTGAGTCAGATAATTACAGATCTGGGTTGAAACCTTCCCGGGGAGTGATCACAAAAGCCAGGATTTGCAGACGTGCTCCCATCGCTCACTCGCACCTTGGCTTCCCCCCTCCATGGGAAAGGTTGTGGAACCTCCTGGCTGTTGGTGAGCAAGTCAGAGAGCCCTGGGGGAAGGGGGGTTGGCAAACCCAGGGAGAACTCTGATTTCCACACAAGTGCCAGTGTTCTTTGTGGTGCCACAAGGAGGTTTTCCGTGTCACGTGTGGTTTTGGTGTGACGGTGTGGTGATGTCTTTACATTCTGATCTCAGTGCTGACCATAACAGAGCAAGCAGGGGAAGAGAAAGGGAATCAGAGCCTCTTGCTCTGATAATCTGAGAACTAGCCCATTTAGGTCTCTGTTTTATCCATATGTCTTGTGGGGCACTTTCCAGTCCAATGATCTGCATCTTAAAGGAAGCAGAAAATCTGGATTTTAGGTAAAGGTTATTTAAATGCAGCATTTTGCTGCTAGAAGAATGATGGCTAGGGGACTACTTAGCTGCAAGTATTAAAGAACTCTTTCACAGAAGTAGGAATACTGTAAAGAAACCAGCAAAAGCCTGGGTGGAGAGACAGGATTCCAGTAAAGGGAATGAGCTAGAATAATCTTCTGGTATCTCAGAAAGAATAGTTATAAATGCTGTTCTGTCTACAGCATCTGTTTTGTGAAAGACAAAACTTACTTTGCAAAATGTGAGAATGCTGTTACTGACCTCCTGTCACAGTCTGTTATTCCCAGAAAGTCAGACTGCCAGAGACAGTATGGCAGTCATAGTTGTTTGTTGTCTCACTTTTCTGTTTAGTGAACAGAAGTGGGTTTTTTTGAACCAAAAGGATTCAGTGCTCCTGAAATACACCAGTCTTATTTTTGCATCCACGTAGTAGCAGAAAGTGACAGTTTTTAGTTCTTACTCTGATTTTTTTTTTAGTGTAATACTTTTCCTCCTGCAGCTTTGAAACTTCTAATGCAGTCAGTCTTATCTTTTTGTTTCAAAACTGAAAGGGAGGGAGAAAAACCATCTTAATTCCTATGATTATGGGAGGCACGTGTAGCTTAATGAGAGTCTCACAAACATAAATATCCTGGCTCTTGGTTTTGGTCATATGCTGACTTCAATATTTTCATAGCCAACGAGTCTGTGCAGAAAGCCCTGAGAATTCTGGATCAGCACATAAATGGGCGACCTGGAAGTGCCAAAGGTCTGATGTGTTCCAGCTTCCAGCAGCTACCTGTGCTTGGAGTTAGTGATTATGTCTCATGAAGCACAGGATAGAGACCTACACACCTTGTCTCTTATGAGGCACAGGACATCAAGTGAAACCAAAGATATGTGAAAACCTATGAAAAAAAGGTGTGTGTTGGTTGAAGCTGCCACCAGATTTCTTGAGGAGAGTGGAGAGTCTTTGTTACAACTGGTGACCAAATTCAGGTTCTCGAAGGAGATCCTCTGAGGCATGGAAGTACTGCAGGATCCTTTGTACAGTGGGAAAGGTTGTTGTTCTCTGCAATAGGGAAGTTGGGACACAAATCAGGAGAGAGAACTAGGGCTTCTGCAGCTGACTGTGTGTATTTTCTGCTTTAAAAACTGTGATCAGTTTAAAAATCCAAGTGTATGCTCTTGAAGCACTTTCATATGTCAGTGCTTTCACTTAGAACAATTTGTTGTACATAACTTCGATATGATTCCAGTATTTACGTGGTCAGCTGGTACCGAAGTTCCTACACAACTGCATGCAATGAGTGATTCTTTTGGCTGGCAGCCTGTAAACTCTGTTACACTTACTGAGATGGCCAGGGGCCTTCTGTAAACTCCTTAGGAACATCTGCTGCCAGCATGGATCTTATGAGGTGGTCTGGCTATTGTCTTTAGACTTGTCCCTTCACTGCCTGAAGGCTGTTTGGGTCAGGGTCCTCACATCTGCTTTGTGCTGGAGAAGGGACACTGTTACCCAGAGCTGCTGGAAAGGCTTCCTTTTTTTTCTGTGACTGCTGTCTTTATTGCTGAGAGCAGCATGAGAACTATAAAGTTATTCTCTTACTACAGTTAGTTCAAAGCATATCTTATTATTACAGGAGTCAGTTGATATCTTACCTGAGTTATATTCAGCTGAACATAGTGGATGAAGGCGCCTCAGACACTTCAAGGTGAAGTCTGATAGCTGAGTTCAGTGTAAAAGCAAATCTGTGCACACTTAGCTCAGTTTAAAAGTAAATGTTTTTTTTTCCATTGCAGAGTAGGTTGTAGACCAAGGTGGTTTTTCAAAGTTATTCTGGTTTGGCTGCAGATAGTTGCAGTTTTCCGTAGATTAATTTGTGGAATGGACTGAACCAGAGTAAGGTAAATATTTGTAGCACAGCTGCTTTCAGATGCTTGCACTGAGATGCATCTCTGTCAAATATCTGTGGGCTGTGGTTTCTTTTGGTCCCATAATCTGCAGTTTTGCTGTATAGATGTGAACTGGCTGTGTCAGAGCACAGAGTAGCTCTGCCCCTGGCATGTGCTGCTTTAATTATTCATAATACAAACCGAAGTGCTAAAGGTCTGTCACGCTGTGCAAAAGTTACAGCGTACCCTGGAAAAATACTGAAGGATTATTCTTTTACAAGCCTCTGCACATGAAAGGGGAAAAACCAAACAAACATTCATTAGAAGATGATTTGCTTTTTCGTATGTGCTGGACCTTGAGAGTTGTATGGCCTTTGAGAAGGATCTTGGGGGAGAGGGAGAAGACCAGTAGTTTTTAAATGGATGGAGGTGAATTGCTCAGTGACCAAACCTTTGTTTTTTGAAGGTGGTTGAGTTTTGTGCAGTCAAATAAATGAGTTTGTTCATGTCTAAGTGTGTATGAGGTAGGGAATTGGATGGAATCTGATTTGGGTTCTGGTTTCAGCTTTACTGAAAACTGATGGCATGATCTTAAGCAGCTGTGTCGTTTGGCTGTCTTGATTTCCCCTCAGCCCCCTGTCTTGCTCATAGTCTAAATAGACTTCTCAAAACAAGTACTGCTACTGCATGAATTAGTTCATTAATTTATTTACATTACAGAGGCACCTGAAGGCACCCTTCTAAAATTATATTTTGTTTAGCTAACTGGACTTGGATTTGTTCTTTGAAAATACAATAATCCTAACAAATCATCCCACCCACCTAATAAAGTAAGATGAAGCACATAATAGGAAAGGATTTAAAACTTTTTAATGGGACCAAGTGGAAAAACAATGAGAAGTAATCAGTTAGTAAGGTATTGTGTGGTTAGGGAATGTAAAAGAAAGGGAGGGATTCAAGGATGATGCATGTGTCTCTGCTGAAAAAGCTATGTAAGGAATATGTCTTACAAAAGAAAACTAGTAGGATGCCTTCAGGCTCTCTCTCCCTATAATTTTTCATAATATTATTATTAATTTTTCCTTGTATAATTAGCTGCACACAGTGAGCTACAGTTCCGAAACATCCGTTCCATTTTTTTCTTAAGACTGCTTGTTGGACTTTGAACATGAAATGTGATGTCATGCTCTGTGTGTTAGTCAGGTGCTCTTCAAGAGTGCAGAAAGTAGGTTTCTTCTGCCCCATCTTGAATGGGAAAATCTTCCTTGATGTCCCAGTTCGTGACTTGAAGTGCCAGCACACCATGTTGTGGTTCAGTTGTTTGTTAAGAGGCTTTTGCCTGCGTCCTGGTGACTGTGGGAGCTCCTCTAGGAAGAGATCTGGGATAACTCTGGTTCTTGGCACTGAGACTTAGCCCAGCATTATGGACTGTAAACATTGTTTCTGAAACTTTTTGGGATTTTTGTACCTGGTCCTCTCTTCCCTTCCAAACTAGTTAAGCTTTTCCAGTATGGCCTTTCTCAGAGAAGTCCACTTCTCATTTGAGGAAGTATTCAGGCTTCCAACATATGCATCCTGGCTTGGCTTTTCCATAGACTGCCATGTAGCTTTCTGCCAACTCTGCATGGTCCCTTTTCATGTGTTTGTATAACTAGCTGTATAGGCATGTTCTGTAGAGACAAATTTTACCCAGTTTGATCACGTTTCTGAAGCTGGTTTGTTTCCAAAGCTCAAACCAAGGTTAATCAGAAATAGTTTGTTATCCCGCTTTGGAACACATCGACAGAGTTCCCATCTGTCTGCCCCCAAAATCATAATCTCTCTGGAGTTCACTGAAAGGTGCTTCAACTGCAGGAAGCCTCACAAGCTAATAATTCATTTTAACTAATTGCAGCTGGACATTCCTGCTTTTAGACTTCCTCTTAAGTAACTTTGCTAAGTGTATTTGTGCAGCAGAGGTGCGGGGCAGATTAATGTGACAGTCTGGTGCTGGGGATGTGGTGAGGTGCCTTCTGGGCTCCTGAAAGCCCTTAATATGCCATTGTGCTGCGCTCAGAGTGCTTCTGCTGGGAAAGTTTCATTGCAGGTTAAGACTTGAAATAAGCAGTTTCCATACTGTGCTGGCTTTGCCGGCCAAAGCTTGGTTTGTGCTGTAACACTTGTGCACCAGGTGCTTTGGTGCTGGGCTGTAGAACTCTGAGCTGCACTGGGGAAGCTTCCAGCAGAGCTGATCCTCTCCATTTCTGCCTGCTGAAGAGGGAAAGGCTGTCACTGATTCCCCACGGAGTTGCCTTTGGTGAGAACTCTCTTAGCCCTGGCAGGGCTGCCGAGGCCGGGTGAGGAGGGTGATGGGAGCTGTGGCGCTTCAGGGCCCCGCACTGATCTCTGTGCCCCAGCGCTGGGGAGAGCCAGAGTCACCGGGGAGTCAGACACAGGTGCAGAAAGAGGCAGGTGAGCAAAACTAAGGCCTCCATAATCCTGAGAGTGCACACTATCTATTTATCTATTTCCCTGTGGATTGCTGAGGGCTTGCTAATGAGCAGTGCAGGGCTAATGAGCAGTGCAGGCTGTTGTCTGAGTTGCTGTGGCTCCACACGCTCCTGGTGTGGGGGGATGTGGGTGATCACAGCAACTGGCTCCACCTTGGAGCCCTGACCCAAGGACTGAATGAAAACCTGTGCCACCAAAATGTTGATGCTTCTTTCCCCTCCTCACTGCAGTCACAGTGTGATTTAGGATGAAGTCAGTCAGCCACAAACGCATTGCTGTGCTATGATAGCCTTTAAATACAGACTTGAAGAGCTTGATTTTTTAAATACTAACTCATACTAACGTTTTATTCCACATCCCATAAGTGTGTTGTCACCAAAGTTTACATATGCTGCTACAGTAAAAATTTTAAAAAAGGTTAAATGGTCAACTTGGAAGAATAGAAATATAAAGAAAGGGAAAGAATTGTAGCTGGCAGTTCTAAGAGATGTTAAAATTTCTGGCTCCAAACAGTGTGTGTGTGTGTATAGGTCAGCCAATGTGGAAACTACTTCAAACAACCTGAAAAGGTTTGGCTTTTGCTGGGTAGGACTGAACTCCATCAGATTCAGCTTCTTTTGAACTTGAAATAAGTGTTTGCTTCCAGTGTCTGTAGTAGTCGTCAACTGGAAATGTAGATTTGGTGGATCATAGATTTCTTCCAAAGAAATACAAATATATTTGAAAAGTAGTTTGTTGCATAAAGTTGCCATGACAATGATCTTCAAAATGTGAACTGTAAGATGTTGCTTCTCCTCTGTTTAAGCAAGTTCCTGGGGGAATGAGGCTTCACAGTGCCCTGTGTCCCTCCTCTCTTCTTTCCTCCCTGGTGATTTATAAAAGGAATTATTCAGATGCAGGGGGCCAAAAGAAATTAACATAGAGTGCCAGATGTTAGATTTTCTTACATTCTTGAAATTCATGGGATGCTATAGTCAAATAGGAAGAAACCCAAGCTAGTACTTCCACCACGAGAGAGGCAGGCACTCCTCAAAGCTGGCTGATGGCTGTGCACCCACAGGACTGTCTGCTAAAAGAGCTGTGAGGCCTTGGAAGAGGGATTGTTTGTGTGGAAGATGAGGTTTGAGAGCTAAGGATATAAACCCAGCATGAAGGAGCTTTTTGGTCTATCCACCTCAACAGTAAATGCCGAGAAATGGTTCAGTGGAGATACGTTTTTGCTCTGTGTGCGTATATGTGCGAAAGTACCACTCCAGAGTTCCTAGGCGTTTTGAAACCTTTTGAATGCCTGTTTCTCTGAGCTTTTAAAGCTTTTTAAAAAACTTTGATCTGAACTAGGTTTTATTTGTCAGTCAAATTTGTCCTAGTCCAAATACAGGACTCGGGTTTCAGGAAAACTCAACTTTTGTGGAGATTGACATGTATGATATGATCTTGTTTCATGGTTGTCTTTCTACATTCACTCCCTGCTTTCTACTGAAGAGAGCACTGAACAAGCTAATGTTTCTACTTGTTTCCTAAGGAGTAGATCTTATGCAAAAGGTAAGCAGGCAGCAAGGCAGCTTTTGATCACTTGTCTGCTCCCTAGATGTACTAAGAGCTGTAAAAACAAGACGTTTTAGTGTTTCTGTTCGTGTGGTAGAGCAGGGGAGTGCTGCCAGAGATTTCTTGTTTGTTGTTTTTCTTCTAGATCAGATACAGAGGTGTTGACTAGGGGCTACAGTTGTAGCTCTTTCTACACAAACCAGACATACCTTTGTCTGTCATCTCTTCAGAGGTTCGTAGTTGTATAGCAGAGCTGGGAATTTAAGAGAAGTGGAGCCAGCTCAACCGAACATGGGAAAACAAACATGGAAAAGAATGTGCTAGAGAATGAAAAAAGAGAATTACCCTTCAGACCCAAATCAGGCTTTGCTAGGTAGCAGCTGTCTGGCATTCACAGATTAAACAGCCGCTCAGCTAACATGCAGTGACAATGGTAGCATGTCCTCTGTTTTGCTTTGAGTGCATGAAATGAGGAATTAACTCTCCCATGCTGAAAACCATAAAAGTATCCGGAAGTGTGTGTTTACTCCTAACAAACATTTCAACTTGTCTGTAGTTTTCAGTACCTGTTTTATTCTTGATATGACAGTACAGAGTGAATGGTGTTAATGTTACTTTATAAGTTAAAAAGTGGTTTTTTTATAAGATGACTTTGAACAAACGGAGTTTGGCTCTGAAGGGTTTTATTAAATGCAGAATTGGTTCTCAGTGACTTGGTGCATTTCATGGTTTTCGTGGCCTCTTCTAAATGTGAAGATTTGTGTGGTCTTTTGTCTTTCAGCATTATATGTGGAACCCAGGGAGCCTGAAGGAAGCTGTGAAGCTAATGGAATGATTCCCTGTGTAGCTGAAACTACGTAAGTATTAGATGTTTCCTTGCAAGATCACCTGCCCAGCATCAGTTGTTGGGGCAAGGACTACTTCAGGTTCAGCAGTGGCAATGATCCCCTCCTGCCTCCCCAGTGGAAAACTGTGTCTGTCTGTTCAGAGCTGGAAGAAGACAGGGCACCCATGATACTGTTCCCTACTCTCAGCTGTTTTAGAAGTCATGTATCCCTGTCCACTAAAAGGTAGACAATGCATAGTGGAATTCTGTGAAATTCTTACAGACTATGCTCTTGTGAAAAGCTGAGGTGGATTGAGGCTTAGTTAAGCTCTAGCAGTGTTGTCTCTGCCTTAGCTGGTGAACTGCTACTTGGAAAGGGATTTAATGGTTGGCTGAGCTGTGTCCCCTTTTGTTATGAGATTTCCTAAAATTTGTCTTGGAGGTGTTCTTGAATGTATGGAAGGTTTTTTTCTTCTACTCTCTTGATACTTTCTCTGTTTGGAAACTCGTTGTAAATATTTTGTGATGCAACACTTTACTAAACAGCATAATGCTTGTTTTGCTTGTTATTCTCTGGACATATCCAATAATTTCTATTACTACAATAACACCAGTCATCAAAGAAAAATACAGGGTTCCTTAAATATCTCCTTTGCATCTTATCCCTTCCTGCCAGCTCTCCCCTACTTCAGTGCTGCCATTTTCAGTTGTGCCATGGTGTGCCTGTATGACAGAGAATTATTACTGAGTCACTTTGTTTTGCTTCCTTCAAGTCTTGGGTTATGTGGGATCTGGTCCCTTGAAAATGGAGAAAAACTGAATTCCTTACAGCACTTAGAAAAAAATACCCCACAAAAACCCCACCAAAACAAAAAGCCCCACCAAGCATTAGCCAAGGCCTTTGCAATCTCCTCTAGGTTTTTCATTGTATAATGGGGCCATATGGTTCTGCTCATCCTTTGTTCTTAGAGTCACTTGCCTTTCACTGGCTGTATTCACCAGCACTGGTCCTCCTGCATTCCCCATTGCTGCCTCCTTTCTAGAAAGGTGCAGAGAACGTCACTGTCGGTCTCTGCTTTGCGGTTCCTGTTATGTGGGAGATGGCCTCATGGGCTTCTTGGTGATTCATATGTGCTGGAGGTCATTGCTCAATCCTTGTCTGAGTAATAAACTTCTTTGGGACTTCTGCATCCTGTAGCACTGGGCACATTCCAACCTTAACCCTGAATTCTGACCTTTTTTCACAGAATGGCCAAAGTAGTGGTCAGTACTGCCTTTTATGTCTTACTTTTATGTTGTACAAACCTCTTAGAGTAATGTTGCTCGTGGGAATTGATCCTTTTGGAATTGGTGCTTTGCCACCAATCCAGTGTAACCTTTGGGCATGGGAGGAGTTTATACTTGTAGTTCCTGATCCAACTGGGAGAAATATCTCTGCAGGTCCTTGCACTGTGCTTGGCATGACCGAGATGTGACACTGGCATTGCTGTGCAGGTAAATGACAGCTCTGCTCACCTTCCTGAGAGTGCCCTCTCTCACTCCTTGAACACTGGCTTCAGTGCAGCCCCTGATGCTGCAACTAGATCCTCTTTCCAGCCTTCCTTAACAAAAGGGCCGACTTCTCCCACTTGTTTCTATCTCCTTCCGAGGCTCTTGTTCCTTTCATGCCTTGAAACCTGAGTCATGTAGGAAGCGGAGGTGACTCCTAAGTGAAGTGGATCCAGCTCAGTGAAGGCGATTTACAGAAGGGTAACTGATGGAGTGCCAAAAGACTTTTCTCTTACAAAACCAGATACATGCACAAGCTGCCAGCGGATGCAGTCTGGCTTTTTTTTTTTTTCCTTCCCAAGCTGGTTTTGCTATTTTTGGGGTAGAATGCTTCTAAGTATCTGGCACATGGCATCAAGTTTCGTGTAGTACAAAAGTGAGGAATTGCAGCAACTGTACATCAATATCTTCTCATGTTTGTTCATAAGGAGTAGGATTGTGCTCTGAAAATCTCAGCAGAGAGGAGGAAGGAAGAACTTACTGCAGGGAAGAGCAGTGCTGGCAGTGCCCAGGCAGGAACTGTTCAGGTGCAGCACTGGGCTCCTGGTAAGGCAAGTAAGAGTACAGAAATTGTGTTTGTTAGAGGGGTACGATGCAGGGGACATGGTTACTTTGCACTCTGTGGGTAAATGCTGCTGTGGTTGCCAGTGGTTTTTGGGAACAGCTGTTGGACTGGGACATTTTCTCTCATACAGGTGTCTAATAATGCTGGCTGACCTTCTCTCTCCGTGTTGTAGTGCTTTTTTTGTGACAGCAAATGACTTTAAACCCCATCTCTTTCATCAGGCTGGTGATGTCACTTTGTACACCTGAATATTAGATTGTTATCATCTTTAATACAAGCTGTTGCTTAGGAATGACAGCATGAATGACTTGTATTAGGAAAAGTTATGGACACAGTATGTCAGTCTCACAAACTGCCTTTTTTTTTTTTGAGCTTTAAATTGGGATCCTAAAGTGAATTGGATTAATCTCTGTCAATTATGCTGTGTGTGATTTGACTACTACCAACTACTTTAAAGGAAAGTACTGCTCACTAATAGGCAGCTATTCTTTAACCTGCCCATAGGGAAAAGCTGTTCTAAATCACCAATAGCTAAAAACTGCTGTTATGTGCTTGAGCAGAAAATTTTTTGTACTGCTTAAACTCTGCTTTAAACTCTAACACTGATCTTTACTCCACATTTTTTTATTCTACTCTTTTACCTGCATGCTTCTCTCTAAAGAAAAACTTGTCCAATGTAGTGCTTGCTACCTGTCCCTGAGAAGCTGATTGAAGAACAAGAATTAGTGTGGATTGAGTGTTTGAGTTCTGCTGAATTTAAAGATGAGGGGGGGCTGGAAAAAGCTGGTATCTGGGAGTTAATCACTAAGCAGTTCTTACTCTGCCTACTAATATCCTGTTTATTTTGGTGTAATGAAGTAATGACTGGTGGAGGCTGGAGAAGATGATGTTGCTCAGGCACATGGCAGCACAGGAATCAGTGCCAGGCTGTGCTCTGCAGTTCACAGAGCTATGAAGTACTGAGGGCCAGTGAAACTGTCTTTTGGGTTGTTTATGTGGACATGCATATTTTCAAGAGTCCTTTAAGATACAAATTACTAAGAATTTTTTTAATACATTAAATTGAACTTTACTTGCCTATAAAAATGATGCTACAAAGTTCATCTTCAAAGCAGTGTGGTGACAGGATGTATTAGATGTTTGTTCCTTTGGCTGCTTAAAAACAAGTATTTGTTTGTTATGTGTGTGGGTTATGTGCTTAAGAAAAGGGATTGGGGAAGGAAAGGGAAGGCAGGGAGTTGAAACCAGCATCTTGGCTGTTGTAACCAACATACAGGCCTGTTGTAGTTGCAATGGAAAAAGTTTTTGTTCATGAAACTGCATGTGTGCTGTTTTCTCAAAACAGGGACAAATGGCTGAGAGAAGATTTATGTCTGAAAGCTGAGAATTCATCTGTACTTGTTGCTGCAGTTGGTTTACAGCTTAAAATGGGTTCAGCCTCCAAAGAGCTCTAGTGAAGAAAGAATGAATACAGAAAAACTGATATGACATCTATTTTATTTATTTATTTATTTATTTATTTTAATTTTTATCTCTCTTCTTCCTTGTACTAATTCTAAGCTGGAAGCAGTACACAAAGACAAGGCAAACCAAAATTTTTGTGTTTGAGGCTTTTGCCTAGCTGACAGCAGAGATGAAATGCAAATGAGTGGGTAAAGGAGGAATATGATAAGCAATTGCTTTCTTGGAGTTGATGTTTCTGAGAAAGGGACTGTCCACAGTGTGGCTGCCTGCTGATAGGGCAGCGTCAGAGTGTTAGTTTGGCTTTAATAGGGAAAATTTGAGAACCCTTTTCTGTGGGTAAAATATCTTTTCCAAATATGCAAGGCTTTGTGATTTATAAAAACAGAGTATGATGAAATCATTTTGGCATTTTAATTTTTATTTAAAAAAAAAAAAAAAAAAAAAAGGCCTGAGCTGGAATTACTACTTCTTATCTGCATGTGTCTGTCTGAAGAAGATTCATTAAGAAGGCCCCCTCCCCTGTCTGTCTCATTACCTGAAGGGAGGAGCCCTCTTGAAACAATTAACAATTCCTGAACACCCTCTTGGATGAAAAGTGAATGTTGCCTCCTTTCTGCAAACACGCTCTGTGTACGTTTTAAGTATTTAAAAAAAACCTAATTCCAAACTCTGTTTAAAAACAAACACACAACTTCCACTCTCCTTCTTTCATAAAAAAAAAAAAAAAGCCAACAGCCAAACCCCCAAGCCCCCTTTTGCTGATTTGCTGAAGGTACAGTTTACATTCAATGCTTAGGTCTCTGCCAGGTTGTCCCATCAGTGTCCCTGTCCCCTCTCCCCTGCTTTGTTTCAGTGTTCTATATTCTATATATAAAATGCGGGTATACTTTTAAAAACCATTTCCTTTAAAATATTTCTGGGTTAGAGTAGTCTGTCTTGATGAAGCCTGTACATGAATCAACCTCTTTGTAACCTATGTTGTGGTAAGAATTTTAGGAATTTCCTTTATTAGGACCCGTTAGGATACTGCAGCCACTGAGTGAGCTGCATTGATTTCTAGGTAAAAGTCTGAAATTGCCTGAAATTTATGGCATTGCCAGCCTTCTGTACACTGCTCCTTTTCAGTATTTAAAACTTAAATATCCTGAAGTCGGTCGCTTACTGGCAAATGTTATCCCACATTTAATACTTAAAATATCCTTTGTAGACAGACAGCAGTGTGACTCTGAAACTGTTTTTCAGGTTAGCTGAGTGCTGCTAATGGCATGGTGAGATGTGTTGAAGAGCAGCTGCGAGGGTGTCCAAGGGCAGGGGGACTGCGCTAGGAGCTGGTGTGCAACATCATGGGCCAGTGCGTCACCAAGTGCAAGAATCCTTCTTCCACCCTGGGCAGCAAAAATGGGGAAAGGGAATCCAGCAGCAAGTCCCACAAGAGAAGTGCAGTCCACAAAGACGACCATGGCTCAGCTTGTGGGAAGGCTTCAGGAGACATCCTTGTGAATGGGACAAAGAAAACGGACACTGCTTTAGAGTCCAGTCAGCCCCCGACGTTTTCTGGAGACACAAAGAAAGACTCTGTTTGCAGCGCAGAAGAATCTTCACTCCAAAGGATTGGGGAGTTGTTTAGGAGGTACAAGGATGAACGGGAAGATGCCATACTGGAAGAAGGGATGGAACGATTTTGCAATGACCTCTGTGTTGATCCCACTGAATTTAAAGTACTAGTTTTGGCTTGGAAATTCCAGGCTGCTACCATGTGCAAATTTACAAGGTTAGTTCTTGTAGAACTTGTAATTATTTTCATATGTTAAAGTATATCCTGTCAGCTCTATGTTGGAGACACAGCCTCATTAGCTTCACTTATTTCTTCTAACACTTGCATTTTGATCAAATTAATTCCTACCACTGCAGAAGGTAAGCTTTGTATTGTCTTCTTCTCCCCTTCTCCTCACAGTGGGTTTCAGATGATGTGGTTTTGGTCATTATGGTGCTAGTGATGAACAGTGTAGTGAGACTCTGTAGACATTAATTTATTCTTGATTTACCAAAAGCAGTTTGCTGTACCCAGCATTATCTTGGACACTGAAATTAATTTTTCCTTTAAAGTAATGTGAGATTCTTTAGTAATTGCTGCCAACTCCGTTACCAGTCTGTGAAAGAATGACAAAATTGTTCCTGCCCAATTAGTGTTATACTTAATGTCTTTTTCCAAGAGTACTCCTGTTAGAGCACAGTGAGGGAAGGAAATGTGAGGGTTTTGACTCAGTAGCAGTTTCGTACCCGCTGACAAGCAATTGCTGTTTGAATGCTGTCTGCCCTTCTGGACAAGGGGCTCAGTCAGCAGGCTCACAGCACGTGTGATGCTCCAGGAAACAACAGAATGGCTAAAACCTACCCCACAAAGCCCACAGCCAAAACCCAAACTGCAACAACCTCCCCCAACTTGATGAGCAATGTCCAGGTAAGAGCAAGTAAAGACTGTCTACAGGGACTTGCCAGCAAAGGAGAAATGTTTTAATTTTTTGGTCTATCTAGCTTGGTTTGAATAATGCTGCCTATTTTTACTGAGCTTATAACTTTGAAAATTATTTTGGTGTTCAGAGCCTTCACCCAAGCCTTTGTTGTGCACTGAACACAGATAACTATTCCAGCATCTTCAGAGTCCTTGTGTCTGTGGGCGTGTGTCACATGGGTGAGTTACTCTGGAATGCAGATGTGGATTTACTGGAAGCTGAAGGCACAAGTATTTGCTAAGATGGTAAAGGAATTGTAAACAGTGTCTGTGATTCTGCACAACCACCATGAGTGTTATTAACATGGTTTTGGTTTTCTTGGAGGGGCCAGATCTAGTGGTGAGCAGTTACCATTGTTTCAGGGCATGCTCCATGATACAAGTGCTGACTGACTTCTTTCATTAAGGAAAGCTTCTCCTGCGTGCTGCTCCATCTCTTGTCCTCCCTCCAACCCATTCTGCAACACCTGCTGGCTCTGGTTAATATTGCCTGGTTATAACACTTGCTCATGAGCATCAGAGATCAGAGCTAACACTGGTCAGTGTTAGTTGGCCAGCTAGTCCAGCAGTGGAGCTTTGAGCAGTGTTGTTGTGCTGTAGCCCATGTTGTGTGATGCTCTGCTCCCTTCCACACTCCCAGCAGGTGCCTCGTTGACCATCACTGTTGGCACCCTTTTGATTTTGCAGGCTGGAAGAGCAACCAAAAACCACAGGAAAGCCACCAGTGAAGTGCTCTGTCCCTTGAGAACAGCTGGCCCAGAACATGGGCATTTAGACATGGGCAGTATTGAATAGATTTGGGGTAAATGTGTCCATTTCAAACATTTGGAATTTCCTCTGTGGTAAATTGGAATTCACTTTTTAATGTGAAAGGCACTGGATGTGGCAGTGTCCCATAGTTGGAAAGCCAGGCAGCAACATCTTCCAAATGCTCACAGTGCCCCAGTGGATCTGGGGGCTGTGTGTGGTTCTCCAGGCCGTAAGGAATGCCTTGGAACTGTCTCTCTTTTCAGTAGGTTCCACTGCCAAAATCTTTGTGCCACCTGGCAGAGTGTGCACCTTGTCTTGTCCAGGTGATCCTGTTCTGATTTGCCGTAGCTGAACAGAGATGGGAAGCGCTTGGCGCGCGAGGTCGTTGGGAAGTGCTCACACTAATTTCTCTTCTCTTGCTTCATAGGAAGGAGTTTTTTGAAGGCTGCAAAGCAATAAACGCAGACAGCATTGATGGCATTTGTGCAAGGTTCCCCAGCCTCCTAAACGAAGCCAAGCAGGAAGATAAATTCAAGGATCTCTACCGTTTCACCTTCCAGTTTGGCCTGGACTCTGAAGAAGGACAGAGGTCGCTACATCGGGAAATAGCCATTGCCCTTTGGAAATTAGTCTTCACCCAAAACAAGCCCCCTATTTTGGACCAGTGGTTACACTTCCTAATCAAGAACCCCTCAGGAATCAAGGGAATCTCCCGGGACACGTGGAACATGTTTCTAAATTTTACTCAGGTGATTGGACCGGACCTTAGCAATTACAGCGAGGACGAGGCCTGGCCGAGTCTCTTCGATACCTTTGTGGAGTGGGAAATGGAGCGAAGGAAAAAGGAAGAGGAAACCAAATGTGTTTCATCTTTGGACACAGAGGGCCTGTGTGAGGAACAGACTTAGCAGTGTCCAAGCAGCAGTGATGAAAGCAACTTGTTGCCCTTCACAAAATATAAACTCTGGATGTTTCTGGAAATTACCGAGGCTCCAGATTTTTCTACTTTACACCTTTTTCTGCCTTGTCTTTGAAAGGGCTCTAAAATGCTGTATCATGTTTTAGGCACTTTCTTAATTTTGGTTATTCCTTTTACTCTTGCCCTGAAATATTTGACCCTGGCTACAAGTTAAGCGTTTTTGGGGGTTGTTTTTTTTTTAAGACTTCAGATTAGTATAAGTAAGTCTGATATTTCTTGCACAATGTAGATCTTTTTAGTTAGGTTAAATTAACATTGCTAAGTTATACAGTGCCAGATTAAGTTTTTCATACTACATCTGTCAGGGCAGGTCTGTACTGTGTGTAGTGCTGTTTACATTGTTGAAATTTTAGGCTATAATAATTTTAAGGTTTTATACCAAGATGAACAGCAGTGTTAACTATAAATGCATTAATCCCAGGTAATAAGGCTCTAAAAACCAACATAAGCAACAGCTTTTTGTAATATGGCTAATTCTCATTTTGAGCTAACTCTTAGTGAATGAGTCCAGATCATTCCTTTTTTTGGACTTTCAAACTAAATGTTGGGATTGTTTTATAAAATTACTGTACCTGTCAGTCAACTGAGTGGTAGATGATGATTTGTATCTAAATCTCTTTACACGTTCGTGTAATAAAAGAGCAGTACTACCTCAGTTTTATTGAAAGTGGACTTGTTGATGGACTTCCATTTTCTCTGGAAGTTGTATTTTTGTGGTTACATGAGAATATTTTTACTTGACTAAAAGAACCAAAGGTTCTGCTTCTTAAGTTTGCTAAACATTGACAGAAGCAACACACAAATCCTAAGTCTTCAAGGAAAACTGTGGTATAATTCTGCTTTAATTTGTTTGATTTATACCTAAAGTATTACCTTACTTGTCTGGCAAGCACAGTACTTCTATGTAAGGAACTATCTTTTGCATTAATATTGACGAACCAATTTTTTAAAACCTATGTTTAATTGCTAAATTGCAGTTAATACTCCACACTTTCTGGAGAAACAATATCGGCATCTGATGACAAAGTGAATTCTTAATGTGTTCTTAATGACAACAGTGTAGATGAGTCATTTTTAGACTGATTTGATAATATTTGGATAGGAGTCAATTTATTATTTTACAATGCCTGTATTGGGACTATTTGCCTGTTGAAATTGTTGTGACTTAAAGGGAGTTTTATTAACACTGGTTGAAACTTTTTTGGTTATTGATGCTACCTTTTTCAATTTTAGTATGTCAACTTTTTTACACCTTTTGGTAAAAGGAATGATTGCCAAGGCTTTCTCTATAGCCAAGTGCTGGCTTAGTTAATTTGATGAACTTCCGTTACACACCTTTTATTTTCAGAGCTGCATTCCGGGATCATAAAATGACTTCATCTGAAAAAACCAAACCAAAAAAAAAAAAAAAAAGCCTAGACATTCATCCATAGCATCTAATGGCTTTTGTGCTGTAAGGGTTTTAAAGCTGAAGGGAAACAGGTTTTAACTGGTGAGCTTGTCACCAGATCCAGGATGTTGTGCTTTGCACATGTGCTGTGCCCCAGAGGGGTTAACAGAGAGAGGAGCAGGATCTGCCCCAGTTCTGGGACTGGCTTTGCTGGTGTGCAGCCTCTGCAATAACTTGGCTCTGAGGTCATAAATCACTAACAAAATGTGGGTAATGGAAACTGTTTAAAAACAAACCCACAAGCCACAGATAGCATCTCTTTCATCTAATTAAAGGAGAGTTTGGTCCATGCTGCTCTTGCTGGAAGACAAGCTGTGGAAAACAAATGTGGTTGTTTTAGATGCAGCTGAGTCTGTCCCTTGGCAGGAGAGCCCTGAAGTTGCTGTTTCATGGGTAAATATGCCCAAAGCTTTGTCCTTGCTACTATAACCTTCCAAGCTACTGTGGCACGAGCACTGTTTGGCAGCAAAACCTGATTCTGGTTTGGTGAGCAGAGCAGGCCAAAGCACTTGTGCTGGTGTTGTTGAATTTATGGTGAGACTTTTGTTGGTGCTGTTACTTTTTAAAAACTAAAATAAATTCCCCAACAGAGGCTGCTTTGTTAGGAAAAGTTCCAAAAGAAGACTGTATTTCTAAGTTTGAGACTTCATTCGTTCAGCTATTAAAAGCTTTGTTCGTCACTTAAGGGTTTTTTTTTCCTAAAGGAAAATTAGAATGTCCAGAGTGTGAAGACTCTTCAGTTGACAGCCAGTGCATGCCTGCACACCAGATCAGGGCAGGGGCTGCTTCTCATTTACATGCTAACATGCAGCAGCTCCAAAGGATGAGGGATAGAGCTTTTTTAGGAAGATGTTTATCTTGTGGTTGGAATGTGGACAGCAGGGAAGAAATCAATCTGTAGCACTTCAAGCTCAGCCCATTTAATGTATCAGATGTAATACAGCTTCTTTTTAAGGCAGAGGTGAACACACAGGAAGGGAAAATCTGGTTTCCTGTTGGGGAAAGGACCATTGCCAGTGGCTGAGTTTCCATGTGTTCAGTGTGGGGGGACAGCCCTACTCCTGCTCTTCTGCTTCCAGGAGCAGGAGCAACTCCACCCCCTGGACAGAATACTTGCAAAAATAGCCAAATGATCTATCTAGCAAAGTACCACTTATTTTTAGCCTAATCTCAGTCTTTTAATTACCATTTACAGAATGCAAACCAGACCTGTATCAGCTTTAAGCTCTGAACCAGGAGCTGGAGGTGCAGCTCTTTGACAGTGCTGACAGTGAACAAGGCTGTCAGACCTTCCTTGGATTGCCTGGTGATTTTGGGATCCTAAATGAGACTCAGCCATGCTCTGTAATGCTGGGGTGGGGGACTGGGGTTTGCACAGGTTTCTGAGAAGTCTTTCATAATATTGGAGCCTCTGAAAATATGTTTGTTTAATGGTTAAACTGTGAATATCTGTGGAACAGGCCAAATACATTCACTCTTCATTTTTATATAATTTAAATCTTTATTGTGTAGGGCACAGGACTGTAAGTGAGCAGTGATGCTGATGAAATCCTTGAAACCATTGCAACTGTTTAATTTTTATTTTTTTTTTAATTAGAGTATGCATTAGGGAACTTTATGCATGTAGTGAATCTGCTGCAACTTGGGATAAATAACTATAGGTAACTATATAGTTATAGTAATATACTGGAAAACTGGTCTGACATCCACAGTCTGTGGCATTTTACTGCCTTCTCTTATATGCAAAGAAATACAACTCCTGTACACTTTAGTCCCTGGTAATAAAAGGCTGACCACCTGCACCATATTATAGTTTGCAACACCTTTAAAATTTGCCTTCCAGATCAACTGGAGGCTCAGTTGTGCTAAATTTTACTCGCATGGGTGCATTTCTGAGGTCAAAGACTGATGACTGATTGATTCAAGTAAGGATTTGAAAGGTCCTGCCCAGAGAACCTGACTGAGGAAATGAATTGGAATTGAACACTGAATTGTGAGTTTACTTACTGCTGGTGCTACTCTCCATGGAGAATTACAGCTTTTTAGTATTGTGCAATTGTAATGAAAGAACCACAGGAAAAATAAGTGCAGGTGTGGCAGGTGGTGCAAAAGCAGACAGCTGGAGCCTGCAGCAGTTGGGAATGCTGGGAGCGGCTTCCCCAGGCTGGGCTGGCAGATCTGCTCATGGATCAGCCTCTGGACCATGGCAGCTTCTCAGCCAGGCACAGGTAGAGCGTGAGGGGAGTTCCCCCTGCTCTGCTGACTGTGAGTGACTCGGGTTGGGGCACAGATGCAGTCCCTGCTCCCAGGGGCAGGGTGGGTGCCAGGTGGGTCAGGCAGTGCTGGGGCAGCAGCAGCTTTGCCTGTGTAACTTTGATCATTCACTCCTCCCATGTCCACTAGAGCCTGAAGAACCCATGGATGCAGGACTAGGCTATCATCCATGGTTCCCAGGTGTGGCTATGCACTGCCCAGTGACCTTAGTCTTTTCATGACACTGTCAACATAAGTATCTTCCTTACAGTTCTAAGCCTTGGTTCTAAAAAAAGCCCAGCAAAGTTAAAAGAATCGCCATGTAGTTAATAGCCACCTCAGTCATGATATTATTTGTTGGCTGAGGTTACATCATTCCCATTCTTTGGAAAATAATAGTCATTGTGAGTTTCTGGGTCTTGCAGCCTTGTGTTCTGCAATGTGATCCTTTTTTAGAAGGTCCTCAGTAAATTAGGCACTCAGTTCTTCCCTTGGGTTCACTCTGCTCAAAGTGTGTGCATGTGAATTTAGCTCTTCCTATTAAAAAAGGAAGATGCTTAACCTGAAACTCCAAATTCTTCAGGATAGTGCTTCAATATAGAGCAAAACGTGTTTTTTCAAATAAGTATTACAAGCAAAGTGTCTGCTTAAACTTTGTTGTGTGCAAACAAACCCACCAGTGTTAACATTTTCTCTCTGGACTGTTGAAAATCGAACCTTTGGTTTGATAGTGTCAACTGAAGTGAAATACATGAGATTGTAAGACAGAAAGAAGGCTGTAACTCCTTCACCATGAAGTACATAGGTATCTCTACCTCTTGTTCTTAGACTTGAATAGTTGAAGGTTACCATCCTTTTGTCCCAGGATTTTATGCCTGGGTGAGTAATCTATTTTTTTTAATTGACCCAAGTTAAGTATTATCTATTTGCCATAGTTTTTGGTATACTGTGTTTAATGTGTATGCAATGGACCCTTGGAAAGGGAGCCGGGTCAAGCTGCAAACCAGTGTGTTGGTCCTCCCGGGTGCTACTTTTGGAGTGCAATAGAGTGGCCGAGCAGAGCTCCATGGCCTGGGCTCAGGGGCCTCTGTCAGCACATCCTCTTCCCTGCTTGGGCTGCCTGTACTGACAGTGAATTGAAGATGGAGCAGCTGCTCCCCAGGAGGGAGCCACCAGCCTTTTCGTTTGCCCTTGAAAAGCTTTAGGAACCCACCTGATGCAGTGCCATGAGTGTATTTTTATTTTAATCAAAAATACTGTGTTTTGTTCATGTTGGACTGGACCTGTAACACCCAGCAAAGATGGGAGCTGCAAAAGCATAAAGGCTGCACTCATCCTTTTCCTCTTGGAGATCAGAATCCTGCTCAGGATAAAACCCCTATGCCTGAGTAAAGCTGGAGTGTTCTCAAGGGCACTGGAGGTGCCAGAGTGGCTTCAGTGCTCAGCTGTGTTCATTAATGCATTGAGGGGGGTGTGTTTTTTTCATGCAGCACATCTGTGTCCCCTGCTCTCCTTCCCCAAAGCAAACTACAACACAATTACTGTCATGGCAAATCCCCAGGAGATGCGATGCTGTAGCAACTGTTGCTGCAAGAGTCTTCTTCCAGTGTGTGTGAGGGCTGCTTTTGGGGTGTGACCTCTTGCACTATTAGGACGGGCGTGGGTTTCAAGAGAACATGTGAGACAATAGGTAAAAGGAGCGTGGACGTTCTTGTCCTGACAGCTTGCCTTAAATCACTGACATTGCAGCGGTTCCTTGCTACTATTGCAATCCTCAGTCTTTGAAAATCCAGCAGGTTCTGTAGGTTATACTATTTTTGGTTTTAATTTTTTAAATAAGTATCTATCTTTGCATAATTGCACTCTTCAGATAAGCCCTTTTTGGATAACATGTCATTTCTCACACAGGAAAAAAAAAAAAATCCATCTCCAGTGTTTGTGTTGTAAAGTGGGGTTTTTTCCCTCCTGTAAATTATATTTGGACTAAAGGTTGCCTACTCTTGAACCAGCGTGTTTACTTGAATGTTGCCATGTTATGCAGTAACAGCTGCTGACTCTTGCTCTTCTCTGGGCCCATGAGAGTGGAGATCGTGTGACCAGAGGTGGCAAACCTTGCACAGAGGATCAGTGGAGCTGAAGGCTGTGCTACTCCCAGGTGTATTCCACATCAGAGGACTGAATAGTACTCAATATTTTGAAATTGTGATTTTTTAAGTCACGTTAAACATAGTTATCTTAAATATATGCTTGCTTTCTTATCTGTAAGTTTGAAATAGTCTTTAAAAAGGAGATGGACTGGCAGGAGTGGTGGGAGGGCTTCATGCTCTTAGTTGTTGAGTAACTCAAGTTCCAGGAGCTCCAGGATGGGACTGTCAGAATTAGGTCCTGACCCAACACTGTTGGGGTTTGCACTGGCTGGTCTTGAGGGCATGAAGCAAATGCAAGGCCTTGATGGGCTCCCTGGAGAAGGGTCAGCCTGGGAGAGCTGGTTGGTGCAGCTGGGTTTCTTTCTTGAGGCCCCAGTTTAGCCTCACGTCCCCCTCTGTGGAAGGAAGGCATTTTGATAGTGTTTGCTCCAGTGTAACCAAGGAAGTCCTGGGAGCACAGCTTTGTGTGGCTGTCACTGATCTCATGTGAACACAGCTCCCTGATCTGTCTCTCGGCTCCTCAGTAACCAGCAAGGGTGGGCAGGGTCAAATCTTCATGCCAGGAGTGTGTTTTGCCTTTTAAGACTTACCAAGAGAGAACCCAATTTTCTCACTCTGGGAATGATGAATGTGTTGTGTGTCACAGAGCAGCCCCTGGTTCCCCTCTGGGCCAACAGTGTCAGAAATGTAAATGTAATGCTTGAAAATGGCTGGAGTAAATTCTGTTTCCTGGAGGACCTTTTTTTCAAGGGGATGCAGCCAAATTTGAAACCATGATCTAGAGGAAAAGTGGGAGAATTTCAGGACAATTCATCTACTGAATCCCATTTGGTTTTTAGTTTTACAGTTACTCTTCTTGTATCAAACTTTGCTCACTGTTGTTGTCTGGAACAGAATGAAAACAGCGTCTTATGGAATGTGCAATCTAAGGCACAATGCAAATAGGGTGTGATAAGAAGGTTGTCTTTACTTGATAGCAATCCTGAGTGCAATGTTTTTGTTGTGTCCCTTTTGGAAGAAGAGCATTAAGTGCAGTCTGAGGTGTTTTTTTTCTTATAAGCAAAGCATTGGTTTGTTCATTACTGACTTCTTGTGAAATTTGTGCCAGATGTATATTAAATATTTTGGTGCTTTTTCTAATCCAAGCTGCCATTCATTTACCTGTGAGATTATTGTACTTCTGTATATTTAAATGACCAATCCCTTAAAGAAAAAAACAAAACAAAATCCTTTAGTCACAATGTATCCTGACTACTGTAGCTTGTCAGTGTTCCAAAGCTTCTGGGTTTCCTGTATTCCAGTAAGGTCTGAGGGGAGGGGAACAGCTGCAGAAATCTACCCCACTGGAAAGGGAACTCACATGCTGTTCTGTGCGTTACTGAACAAACGAGTAACATTTGTGGTGTTTACATAACGACACGTTGGTGTTCACTTTTTTGTGCTCAAGCTTTGTACAAAATGTCTTATTTAAAGCTGAAGTCCTTTTTACATTTTTCAATTAAAAAGGGACAAATTACTTATTTTTTCATGCCTATAAATAGGACTCTTGCTACTTTTATTTGTCACCTGAGTTTCTCAAGCAGGAATCCTGGATGCTTACCTGCCTACTCCTTGCAGCGAGGTGACCACATCATTTTTAAGTGTGTGGAATGAAAACTAGCTGGGTTTTTTCAACTTTGCAGTGCAAGTGTCTGCAACAAGGAGATGCTGGATGTGAACAGTCTGAACAGGAGCGAATCCTTCCAGAGATGGGTGCTGGGGTCAGTGCAATTCACCCCTTCCCCTGAGCTGCCTGACCCCGTGCTGGGCTGGGTCAGCAGCAGGGAGGGATGTGCTGGGGAAGGCACTGGTTCCCTTTCATGATGATTTTGTTTGCAATAGCTGCAGCCAAAGGATGCCAGGCTCACTTGGAGTGGCTAAAGTACCTTTTTATAAGTAAAAAAAATTGGCTGCATTCATCTTGCTTAATAACAGATTTCATTTCAGGAGTTTTGGAGGCTTTAAATTTAGTCATGACTGACAGTGACAGGAGCATCCCCTGCCCGCTCACTGCTGCTGCCTCTGGGCTCGTGCTGCACTTGCCTGTCTCCTCCTTGCCTGTAATTGCACCTGCCTCCTCCACACAGCTTCCACTCCTTAAACAGAGCCCAGCACAGTGAACTTGGAGTTGGAAAGTAGGAGGGTGTAAGTACTCTATCAGCTGTATTTAATAATTTCTGGAATAATAACTGTTTCAGCTTTATCTCAACCTATTCTAATTCACATCAAGAAATCTCTTGACTCATGGTCAAACCTTTAAACAAACATTTCCTTTTAATTTTCCATTTTTCTGAGTGCCAAAAGCTCTCCCTATGCTTGGAATTTCCCTGTGTTAACAAGAGATGCTTGAGCAGCCTCTACTTTAGGTGGCAGGTGCTGGAGCACCTCATCCTGCCTCCAGCTCCCTGTGGAAAGTGTTGCTGTGCTATGTCCACACAACCACGTGCTTTCCTTAAAATGGCCCTTGCCCCTCCCACTGCCACACTAAAACTTCTTTTTTTCTCTTTTTTTTTTTTTTTGTGTGCAAGGGGTGGGTGGGGGTGGTCGGGGAGGGAGGAGAAAGTGGAGATTGTCCAAGAAGCATGAATCACCGATTCCTCCTTTCCATGGACTCAGTACTTTCCTGGAAAGGAGGCAATGACTCCATTTCAGGGGCTGCCACTGCACATTTCCAGAAATCCACACAATTCCTGAGGGAAGCTGTTAACTGCTGAGCAGCTGCTGCAGGTTCTACACTAACCTGGCTGGCTGGTTTATGGCCTGGGTTTCAGTGAGGATGCCCCAGCTGGTCCCTCGGTCTCCGGCAAGGAACGACATCCTACAGGCCAATCCTGATCGAATCCTAAGCAACAGTGACCCTGGTTTGCCCCAGCTCTGCCCAAGCACTTGCCTGGCTCAACCCACAGCAAGAAGGTCTAATGGAAAAGGTTTTGTGTTTTAAGATGTTTTGAATGGCTTTTATTTTTAGACTTCGTAGAAGATACAGAGTGAAAGCCTATTGTTCTTGTGGTAAGAGATCTTTACAAAGACATCAATATTTCAAGTAATTAAAAATATCTTAACAAAAGACTTTGCTTAAAAACTTGGCAGTTTAACAAGCACTGCTCCCTCCGTCATTTTTTATTCCCATCAGACCAAGGCCGGGTTGTGATCCATGTGTGCTGCAACACAAACAAGAGGTGTGTTAGTTTTGCTCAGGGCAGCTTTGATGCACATAACCTCGGCTGGTCCGGGAGCGAGGCCTGCAACCCTCAGGGTCAGCACGTTGAAAAACTGTAACTTTTTTTCCACCCAGCAATTATTTGGCATTCTTTTTAATCAAGAAACCTCCTCGGGACTGTTGGTCCTCTGGGAAACAGCAACACAGGAACCTCGCTTGGCAAGAAACCTCTTCAGAGCCTGAGCAGGAGCTCCTGTCCACCCCCCTCAGCAGTCTGAGAGTGTGGGCCAGGCTCTGTGGGCTTCCATAGGCTCCCTGTGGATGGAGATTACTGAATCCACCTGTTCTGCTGGTGGGATTATACCCCTCGGTGGTGCAAGCTTGTGCTAAGTGAGGGTAGTTGGAGATGGCCCTTGAACAGTCAATTTGGACCTGCTGAACCCAGTGACTACTGCAAAAGCCACAGTAACTCACAGCCATCCTCACCTCAAACTTTTCCATGGGGTGACTACCCAAAAAACCTGCCTCCTGTGGAAACTGCTTGATTCATGGCCACAAAAAAACTTACCTCATTGTCAGTCGGGATGAAACATTCATCAGGGGAAAGAGGGTGAACTGATATGACTTGTACAATTAATTAATGCTGTGGACCCTCAGCTACATGAGTGGTGTCAGCTTTTGTGCTTGTTGTGTCTTAGGCCTGGCTTATGGGCAGAACTTAGGGCTGAGGTTTTATTGGCTGGACAAGAAAGTCAGACTAAGTACAACAGCTTCTTCAGGCCTTCTCTCAGGCTTTCACTCCCTTGTGCAGGGTTTTAATTTTTAACAGATTAAGATAGAAATATTCAGCTCTGTATTTTCCTTGGTTCTGTGCAAAATAGGTGGCAAGTTACCTGTTCAGTCCAGGAAAGAGAACAACACACAGGGTGTTATTCTGCAGACTTCTATAAAGTTTTTTGATATGGTGGTCTAACTTCTTCACCTTTTTCCTTAGATCCTGCTCCTGCATAAGAGAATATAAGCATTAAACTCCCAATTCATCAGCAGTCATACTTGGGGACGCTGCATCCTGAAAACATCACCTTATCTCGTGTGATATTGCCTCTCCAAACAGCCCTAGAGAACTGATCCTTGGCAGCCCCTTTGCTCCAGCACAAGGAGACCCTTCTGTCACAAGCAGCTCTGCACCTAAGTCAGCTCAAAGTTACCACTCCAGCTTCCCAGGGCAGTCCCTCCTCAACAATTGCAACAAACATCAGAATAGCCTCACACTCACAGAGTCAGACAGCTGCTCCATTTTCTCATAGAAGATGTGTTTTCCTTGTTTCCCATTGCTGTGATTCATTTGCCATATCCATCTCCAGAGGTGCCCTGAGGCAAGAGCATTCCTACTTCTTAGCTCGCTACCCTTCACAGTCCATCCATTTATAGCTTCAAGGGCATCCACGGCACTCTGTGATCTCTGGAATTCTGAAATGCAACAAGAAGGGAACATGCTTTGGCACTGCTGTTGCTGCCCTCCTCCTTGGCACCTGCAAGGCAGGGCTAAAGGTGTGGAGCAGGAGGGAGATGAGAAACTGAAATCACTGCAGCAAGCAGATCCTCATTTTGCTACAGATAAACATCAGACTGTGGAAATGCCAGTTGGCTGCAGCAGCCCTCGTCCAGCTGTCCTCACCTTTTAGAGGTGATTACTGGGCTGTGTGAAGCTGCACAGTGGCCAGCCCTCACTCTGAAGTACTAGAGCCCAACACCTAGCTTTGGAATTTTTCTAAGGGTTATTTTTTTAAGCAGGTGTTTTTTCCTTTTAAATATTTAGCTGTAAAAAGTGCTCTTCCAAACAATATGTGCTTTCACTGGAGTATTTTAAATACCATCCCTTTGAGCATACCTGAGTTTCAGTAGCTCTTGCTGTGTCTGTGCAAAGTCCCAAGGGCTGCTGAATAAGCTTATTTGAAGGAAATAAGCAGGCTGTGTGTGAAGCTACTTACTGAGGAAACAGCAATTCCTGTGCTTTCCACTCTGGAGATCCTTTGGCAGGAACAGTGTTTCCAAGTCTTTCAACTGGCTGAATTCTTCTTGCAAGTCTGTCTCTGTTAATGACTTCTTTAGACCCGCCACATAAATCACACCTTCATTTTCTACATCCAGTTCTAATTCCTTTATCAGAACATCACAGTCCAGCATTGCTGCAGTGACAGGTCTCTGCACCTGGGGTGGATGCAGCAGGAACAAACAGCACATCAGCCCACACAGCTCTGTGTTCGGAGTTTCTATTTTAAAGTATTTTTCTCCCATTGCCAAAAGTTGCCAGGCTATTTTCCCTCCCTTGAAAAAAATATGACTAATGAAGGCTAACTTAATTAGTCATGAAAAAGGAAGAGAGATCATATTTGTAATGCAGAAACACTACAGAACTAAAATGCCATAGCCCTGTTACTTGGCTCTTGCTTTTAAAGCTCCGGGTGGAGGTCAGAATGCTTTCTAACCCCCTTCTGCTGACAAGCAGAAAGGAAAAAAAGAGGGATATAACCACTTGCTTTCTGCCAATGGGCCTAAATTGTCCAGGGACAAGAAGACTGTAACAGCACAAGCAGCCAGCACTTGCCCAGACACTGCTGTGAGCAGATGTTAGAGAGACAGACTGGAGGCTGAACCTAACTTGTGCTTTGGCTAATTGCCTTGCTTACCTTAATGCAGGATCCTGCTACCTCAGCTCCATTTAGGTTTTCCACAGCAAGCTGGGCAGCTTCCAGCACTTCATATTGGACACAGACATAGGGCTTGAAACAGAACAATAAGATACTTCAGGCTTATCAGTGAGACACATCAGCCTTCCCTTTTTAAAAGTCAGGCCTCAATGAAGTTGTGTTTTCTTTTAAAAATAGAATATAAAAGGGTTTAGGAGTAATATATATAACATTCCATATACTCCAGCCAT